TCCTCAACGAAGCAATATCGATGACTAGTTCCAAAAGCAATTATGTTAAGCAAGTTACGAGGATGAACATAGGCCATAAAAATGACGGGTTTCTTTCATGTATTTCCCGGAAAAGCCAAAAAACCTAAAGAAAAAGCAGTATTTGGCCCATATCTCGGCAACCAGACCACTTAGCGACTTGAAACATGTACCAATCGATTTCTGCCATAATTTAGAACAATATTGCCGAAGAAAGTTTTCAAAAATATCCTTTCGTTCGGTCACAACAAATTTTTTGAATTAATTAAAATTTGGACCGAATTAGTAGGCATTTTATGCAACCACACCACACGCGTCATCACGTTCAATAGCTGCGCCATCACGTTCAATGGCTGCGACATCACGTTCAATGGCTGCGACATCACGTTCGGTAGCTGGGCGCGCAATGGTTTTTAGTCATATTACTCTATTGTAAATAAAACATGTAAAAACGTTTTAATAACTAACCAATGGTTTTACTAACCCTGCTCTTGATTTACGCTACGACAGAGCTATTTTTAGATAACATAAGGAAATTGCGCTAAAATTGTCACTAGACTTTTTTTATTACTTGTTTTCTTATCCAATGCTGCAGTAAACGTTCAATAAAGTTAACCCTAAAATAACTGCTAATGTTTTTTTTTTTTGTAGATGCTGATGGAGCACTGGAATCTGAAGTCGAGCAAATCCTGCATGGGGAAACAAACACAAACAGCAACCTCTCAGACGGGACGATTTTACCCCAAGTTCTTCTGTTGTTGTTACCCGTTCTCTTTAGCTTGTACATTTTATTACGTTAGAGATCTTTCTCAGATATTGAATATTTTATTTATAATTCTGAAGGATGCCATATAATTCAAAGTAAAATATAATATTTTCATAGTTTTGTATAACGGTTCTCATTACTTAAAAAATAATTTATAACAAAAACACGGTTGCAGGCAAATTTTGTATTTAAAAAAAAGTAAAACGATATTAACTTGTTGAAGTTGTGATCTCGTTTATTCTTTACACTGCCCTCAGCACCAGTGTGTCTGATTGTCTAAAACATATCTGATTCAGATGATCGGCGTAGTTGGATGGTAGAGCAGACGACTGCTTACCCAAAAGTCTCAATTTTTGAGTCCTGACTCACTTCTGCTCATGTTTTGCATACCAGCATAAAAGAATTGTTTGCTGGTGGTGCAAATCTAACTATAGCCCTGATCTTAACATTAACATTTGCTAAAGGACAAATAAGAAAAACTAGATATGTTTAGGTTATGTCTAAAATCTAAACAGAGTACGAACGTTCCAAAAGTATATGTCTACAACTATTCACTTAAGACCTAAGAGATAATGCACACAATAAAATTTTATATAACATTTATATAGACCTATCCCCCCAATGTGATGTGAGGTTTTGGAAATAGTACTTTCAAATTTACTATACAATTTTACTAGAACAAAATATTTCTGGAGTATTTTTATTTAACATCTGTTAGTATAACCCACTTGTTACCACATTAAATATGTGCCAAAGATAGCCAAATATAATGCACCGGGTAATGCAACTTATTAGGTAAATAGCAATAATTTACAATTTATTATTTTAACCTATGAAAATTGGTAAAATCGTATTTTGTGAAAGATCAATTATAAATCTTATCATAAGTTAATAGTTAAACTTTGTTGTGTCAGCTAAATTAAACTCGGTTTTCATGTTGCTTTTGTCTAATAAATTATTATTGACCGATGATTTTCTTATAGTTATTTGGAATATATACAACTTAATGGAATAGAAAAATGCTGTTATATAATTTACTTCAATGTAATTAGCTATATATACACCAATGGCATGTTTTCTCTACTTGATAATAAATAGGTCTAAAGGATATCGTGTTCATTTGATATACATTCAACTGTTCACAAATTTTGAAAAAAAAAAACAAAAAAAACAACAACAAACAAGCAGTGTAATGTAAACTTTTCATTGTACCAACTCTTGACCCCCACAGTACACAACATAACAAAATGATAAATCACCAGCCATCGTCTTTTTGCCTTTTTAAATATGGACACGATCCCTATTCGCTGGCTAACTTACTCTTCCTAAAAGAAATGGGAACTTTAAGAATCAACGCACACAATTTGTTTCATACATTTTAATACTTTGAAAATATTAAAAATAAAAACAAATTAAGGCTAATGTCGTGCTGAAACTACTTGCAAGTGTGTTTAGTTCTCTTACGCCCAAATCTTTCACTCATCTCAACATTTTTTTTCTCCCATTTTATTAAAGTTTCCCCTAGAGTTAACATAAGAATGCATGAAATTATATATATATATATATATATATATATATATATATATATATATATATATATATATATATATATATATATATATATATATATTTATATATAAATAATATTTATCTGTACTTGCAAAAATATATTTGAAATGTACCATTAGTTATCAGTTGTACACAGTATGTTTACTTTTAAACCATGATATTTTAAAAAATAAAAAAATAAAATGTTAATCGGAAAGAACTTTTGGAATATTTATTCAATTTTTGCACATTTTATCAAGTAGGCAATAAAAAATAACACTTAAAAAAACTAAAAGCCTAGAGCTGCTTAAAGATTATAGTCTGCTTGATAAAAGTTTGGTAAGTTGTTACGTTTCCTTGGTAACAAGAAAAGACTTAGGTATGACGGTGCTAAGAAGACAACATCCGGGTCTCTCAATTATTTTTATCCTTTTAAACATGTCAAGATGACTGGTGTCCCATTCTCGGTGCATGATGGGATTGATCTCGGTCCCCAGAAGTAAGAGCTCTTCATTTTGTATAAGAGCGGCAGAGAGCTTGAACTTCTCCTCAAACAACACAGTGCAGAACTCCATCTTGAGAATGTGATCATTGCAGGCAGCCAGCTTCCACAGGGCGCCAGTCTGCTGAAGGACATAGGTGTCGCTGCGGTCTTTGAAACTGACCATGTTGCTGGCACCTCCAAGAATGTTGTCCGAGTAGAAGTGGCTGGTCAAGGTGTGTGTGTTGAAACTTTGGACAGTGGTTGTGGTGCTTGTGGCCGCATCACTCCCGAACACAACGATAGAGTTTCCAACTGTGGTAGCCATCATGTTGGTGACCGCCATTTTGAGGTCACCCACTTTCTCCCACTTGCCGGAACCTGGTTTTTGTTGCTCGTCATTAGCATTGAACCTGTCAATAGAAGTAGAGTTGTCGCCCCTATGGCATAGATGTAGTTGTCTAGACTTACAAGTTGACAGTTGTTTCTTACTGGGTTCAGGCAAACAAAGTTAGTCCAGGTGTTAGTGTTGGGGTTTTATCTACTTGCATTGTTTTGGTTGAAGTTAGACATGACATAAACAGACTCCTCAAATCCAACAGCGGCGGTTGTAGTTGGTACCATGTGCCGTCGTTGGTTCTACAAGACATCTCGAAGACACTCTCATATACAATAGTAATTACCACATTCGCCAACAAACTCTTAGCTCTATGAGTGGCTTGGGGAGGGCAGTAGTAAAACTGTCGGCTGGGCTTTAGATGTTGACCCAGCGCTTCTTTGACAAAAAGCAAAAGCTTCAGGACTTTGTGATACAGTCTCACTGTCTAACATTTTCTGGAAACATGCGCCACTTACCAAAAGAATTTAAGCTGTCGACAAAAGCTCTGGGAGAAATGCTTGTCTGTGACGCCGTGAACTGCCTACATCTACCTCAGGTGTTAAAAAATCTTTGGCTCCATCGTCAATCTAAGGTTTAGCGGTTTAAGGCATTTATCAAGCCTTTGTCTGTAGGTTTCATATTATTTTTTAATGGCGGAAATCAGTTTAAAATTTCGTTTCCTTCTCTTTGTTATTCTATTTATAGATTCAAAATGATTTGAGTCGGAGCAAAGAAAAGATAGGCTTATGATCCTTGAATTAGTCGGTTGATATACACAGGAAGTGCTGTTAAATCTATGACTATAAATATAGTCTAGATCTAGATCTATATAATTAATAATTTAATATTATTAAACATACTTAGAACTAGTACATTATAACATAGTAACACATACATGCGTATTAATAAAAACTACATAACTTCATACTGAGTATACTCATTACTCTATAGTATAGTAACTTGGTAAGTAAATATAATTTTAATAGATCACAAGATCTAGCCAATTAGGCCGGCAACCCCCTACCCCACATGCACGGAGCCCTTAGGCCTAGATCTACATCCCTCACCCTTCTTGGACGAAATAGAAGAATATTGAATATATTATTTATGAAGAATAAATAGATCTAGATCATTATAGTTCCTGCTTTAACAGGAAATTTTAAGACACACTTATTAAGCTGTAGCCGTTTTTTTTCATACAAAATCAGGTCGATCTACATTAATGATTAGTAGCTGATTTTTTAATTTAGATATAAACCTAGAACTAGATATTGACTCTAGTAGCAATGATTCTTCCTTTCTTGTAACAATTGTTTACAGCGACGAAATTTTAGTAAAGAGGAAAAGTTAATTCTCAATACAGAAATTGAAAAAAGGGCTTACAGCTGCCAGCAAAGAAAAAAAAACAGAGAGCTTGCAAGTACCATGAGTGTTGAGCCATTCAGGATAGAGGTTAATTAATTAATTTTACTTTGTTGAATGTTTAAAAGTACAAATGTATTTAATTCTAGTATAACTGCTATGCCCATTAAGATCTTTATTAAAGTCTTATCTTATAGATAAACATATTCTTTGTTATTTGTATGCAGCGCTATATTTACAACAGTAAAAGGAAGCCCAGTGCCTCTTCAGACAGACTCCCCCAAAAAAAGAGGTGTGGTTTCGATGAGTTTAAGGCTCTTCAAAAGCGAGGTTAGAATAATGAGTTTTTAAAATGCTATTTTTAAATGATGCAATCTTGTATGCTATGAAGATATGAACCTTATGTCTACATTTACAAATTATATTTTTAACTTCTCAGGTGTAGATGAAGATAAGGCTTCCTTTTTTAAACAAATAGCACAGGAATGGAAGGGTTTTGATAAAATAACAAAATTAGAAATGAGCATAAAGGCAGAAAAAAAAAACAAACAATCTACCATTTTTGGACTTGATGATGACAGAATTGCAAATAGGCTGTTTAAAAAGCTGACTTCATTGGTAATGTTCTTTGACTGTTTTGCCATTTTGACAACTGTGCAAATATACTTTCAAGTAATGTAATATCTGTTTAACTTACTTGCAGGTAAAATAGTTCAATTCTGCCAACATAAAATTTATAGCTGCCATTCTCCATTTTGACCCTCTAAGCAGAGTTAACATATTCTGTACAAAAGATGCTGAACATCTAAAAAGTGACATTCAAGATATTATGTTCAAAGGTTGGCTCTTTTTCCCCTACATGGGTAATAGGGTAAAATGAACATACTTATAGATTTCTAAAATATTTCATTTTATTCATTCCTACCAAATTTTAGAGCCTTTTAAAAATGCTATATAAAATCTTTCAAACACGTTTTATATTCAATTTTTTATATTTTTAACACATAAAACAAGCCAAGATTTCACTTGTTGTGAAAATTCCTTGCAGATCCATTACAAAGTTGTACGCGGTCTGTTAGGATCAGTGTTTCTTCCAGACTTTTTTCTCCGGGGGGGGGGGCACTTGAAATCTTCGGGGGGGGGGGCGGTAAACTTTCTTCGGGGGGCGGACACTGTTAAAAGTATATATTTTCTATATAAATTATATAAATTTCATTTCGTTTGGGGGGGGGGGGGGGGCGGTAAAATTTTTTCGGGGGGGCTTCGCCCCCCCGAAGAGATGCCTGGAAGAAACTCTGGTTAGGATGCGTCAAATAGTAATGGAGATATTTTAGGAGAGATGGGGTGAGAACTTTTTGATCAGCTTATAGAATATTAGTATTGTGTTTAATTTAGTTGATTCTGTTAATAGATGCTAAACAACATCATGAAACAACAATATACTCAGCCAAAGATTTATTTGGCAAACCTAAATCTGTAATATCCAAATAGTTAAAAACTTTACACCTGTAGGTAAACACTAACGTAGGGTTATTAAAAATCTATTATACAGAACAGTGCATGAAGATCCACACAAAGGTGCCTTATTTGAGCAGTGATTTAATCGTCACTAGGCTGCCCACCGGCATTGGTTTTAAGCACCCAGAGATGTATACAGAGAAAGAACTGCATAAAATAATATCTGTTGAAAAAAATCAGATACAAATGTCTATAGCAATGTGAGTTGTTTTAAAGTAATCCTGTATATAATACATTTAATATACAAGTAGGCTAATAAAAAGTATTTTTTTAATGATTTATTAATCCTTTTAAATGTAGTGTTTGATTCTCTTGCTGAAAAGCAAACAAATTATTAAAATATTGCTGAACAATTTAAGCTATTATACCATGTTTCAGGAAAACAAAAGATTTTGAAGGTAAGTTCGTCTTGGACTTTGATTACATTCTCATGAACTATTTATTAGGATGATAAAATCCTTATAGGTCAATATGTATGGGAATAGGCTTATGTAAAATTCTAATCAGGGATAATTAACTTTTTAAATGGAATAATCGGTGAACCTACAAAGTATTTATTTATGCTTATATTCCGGAAAATGTGGTTAGGATAAGTTAGCATTACAAAAAACATTTAGACCTATGATAATTACAAATGTTGCATTATAAAAAAAATTACAAAAATAGCAAATTTTTTTATTTTTATAGAAGTAAAAGCTGTTATGTTGTCATGTTATACTATATCTATAAGAATGGGTATATTTTATTGTTGTAGTGCTTTCATTTAGCCTATTGTTTTTCAATTAAATTAGTTTCTTAGACATGAATGTTTGAATGTTGTCAATTGAAAGTATTATTTCAGGTATTTTTAACACCATGGAAAATTTGAAACTTATTTCAAGAACAAATAGGAGCCGCATATTAATCGAAGGTATTAAATCTTATATTAAATTTGCACTAAATATATATTGCTGATTTTGGTGAGTTGTTACTGGCAATTAAGTGCCAGGCGGCAGGGTGGATGTTTAACAGTGTTTCTTTCAGACTCTTTTATCCAGGGGGTTGGCACTTTAAAGTACGGGGTAGGGGGGTGGGGCGGACAAAGTTACTAGTAAAATATATATTCTATTTTGTTGGAGGGGGGGGGGGTAGTAGGTGGATGTTCACTACTTAAATTTAAGCACCAGTGTTTTCAAATAACATCATTTATTGTAGACATATAAGTCTACCCAAGTATAATTGAGTAGAACATTTTTATACTTTTTTATATTAGATAATTAAATTTTGAATAGTTCCAGTGAAACAATTTTTTAAAATTTGTTTTTGACAGATCTATCTGTTGAGACTTCATTTCTCGGGCAAGAGTCGGCTGCTGGAATGGACATTAAGGTTTTAGAAGAATCAAAAATTGAAACAGTAATGTTTAGTAGTGTTGCATCTACCAGCAAGCAAGGTATTTCTAGTTATCTATTTTAACTTGAATAGACGAATAGTGTAGAAGAATGCTTTTAAACTATTATTTGGTGGAAAGATGAAAATGTAATTGTTCATAAAATTATTGTGAATGGAAATGGATTGTGTAAAAATGTAATGTAGGGCATATACAATATCTTTTAGAAATATTTTTGTTATATTTTCCAGTTCAGGAACATGAAGTTATGAATATAATGGAAGAAGCAGGTCAATCAGAGATTCCATGTATCATTGAATCTAATTATGCATGCCTATGTTAACTACCTACCTACCTGCAAAATGTTTGCTTCCTACCTACATGCCAGCCTACCTACATGCCTGCATATTTGCCTACATGCCTGCCTACCGACCTGCCTGCCTATGTTAACTACCTACCTACATGCCTGCCTATTTGCCTACATGCCTGCCTACCTAACGACCTACATGCCTGCCTACCTGCCTAATGCCTGCATGCCTACATCCCTTCCTGCCTACATGCCTGCCTATTTGCCTACATGCCTGCCTACCTACCTGCATGTCTCCCTATGATGACTCGATTGAAAGGTGGTGACGTATTTGTGTAGAAACTTGGTTGCTATGAGTTGTGTGTGAGTCTTCTCTTGATCGTCGTGGTGAAAGGGTGTACGTGAGTTAAGTATGATAATAAATTTAAGAACACGAAATCTGCTTTCATCTTATTGATCAGTCGTCACTTGTGTTGTCTCGAGGAGCAATTGCATGAAGCCTGTCTGTGGGTGAAACCCCTCTACATGGTAGTACAACGTAATATAATGGTATGGAATCGAATCAAGTGAAACCCTCTCACTAAGCAGCGTAACAGTCTCCCCATCTAAATCAGTGCCTGTTATCTTGTGTAAAGGGTTAAATATTCCTTCCCAGTCCCATTAAAAAGTTTTCTTTAACAAGGGTGTTCTAATAAACAGATGTTTAAAAAAATGTATTTGTTCAAAACCTCAGATTTTCTGGTGGCAGTTCCGGAATCTTCAAATCCTAAGCTGGATTTGGAATTAAAGCAAGCATTAGAGAAACTTAGTCAAGATGAGAAATACACTGAGATGATTGAGTTCAGGAAAATTCCAGCCTATAATATGAGAGAGGTGAACTGAATATATTTTTCCCCACACTTTGTATACAACTATCAACACTGAAATAAATAAATGAACTATTGTTCTCAACATCTCTTCATAATCTATTAAGTAACATTGAATAAGGATGGGGGAAATTGTATACAGTTTATTTTATATCAGCCTCATGCCAACAATTTAAATTAACTAATATATATATATATATATATATATATATATATATATATATATATATATATATATATATATAAAATTTATCATTTCACTGAGTTTATTATTTATGTTTCAGACATTTCATTCTAAATTACAACCCCAACATCATTCACCATTGTAGCGAGTTGAATGTCGAGAAAGTGAAATACCTGGCTTTAGACAGTAATCAGAACATCTTCATTGGGCATGACTAGAATAGGATTTTATTGTGTATTTAATAAATTTTACTTATTGTAATGTAACACATATAGTTACCAGCCAAAAGGGGGATAAAACTATGAAGTTTTTATTCATTGGGTTGCGGCCCCTGTGGGACTGCAACTGAACTGTTGACGTTTTTTTATGCTTTTGTGAGCGAAATTACACCTGTGTTCCATGTCATGTGACATGTGCCTAGTCGTGTCGCACACGCAAGGCTGCTGTCTGTGGACCAAGATGTAGACCTAATGAAGGTAGTGTAGATATTTAAATTATGTTTGTTAAAATACTTACTTATGTATTCCTGCTAGTGCTGCATGTGCACGCTAGTTAGGGTGATGTATTAAATTAAGTATTTATTTTGTAGTACTACTTATTGGTACTTGTTGGCAGTACTGTGTACTGGCCGAAAACATAATTTATTGTACCCGTGTATATTGTAGCTTACACGTGGTGTTGTCCTGAATGTAACTTTTTTATTTTACATTTGTTTTAGGGCTACAGTTTCTGTTTTCTGTTTCTATTTTGATCTTTTGATCTTTTGATCTTTTGGTCTTTTGGATTGTTTGGATCTTTTGGTCTATCTTGGCTAGTTCGTTTTGTGTTGCATCGCCGTCATGGCTCGATGCTATAAATAAACGAGTACTTGACAACAACTGTCGGCGTCGGTGTGTACTTAATCTCAGGGTCAGCCCGTCTTAAACCACAACACCTCAGTGGGTAAAAGCATCCCCACTGAGTGAGGGTTACAGTAAAAAAAAAAGTCTGCTTCTATGCACTACTTCCCGATAATGAACAATGGGGTGAAAATGTTTAAAAAAAAATTAAATATAAAATTCACTCCGAATTTTATAATTTGGCCAAGTGTATCATTTGTACTCATCTGTTTTAATGAATACAAATAAACATCATGTTGTATACCTTAAATCTAATAAAAATATGTGTAAATAAAGTGTTGATATATAGTGTTTACTATTATGTAATACCTGTGAATGTTATTCAGGTAAAATCACGATATAACGTCGGAAATTATTGGGTAATGTTCGTTGAGTTTCGGTAACATTCGTTACTGTAAACCATAGTTTATTTGACCGTTGAAAGAAAAATAAATTCAAGTGCATTAAATTAATGTTTTAACTTAATTTAATGTTTAACTGACAAAAAATTAGCAAAAATCTATATATAATTAATAAAGTCGAGTGTGGTAATTAACGTTTTTTTAAGAAACACAGAAAAAACCTGCAGAAGATTTGCGACAACTAGATCTAGCTCTATAGTTCTGTTAGTAAAGATAAAAGTAGTAAGAAGAGCTAGAATAAAGTTTAGTAGCAGCAATAATTAGCACATACACTTAAACTAATTAGAAATACAAAATAATTAGAAAAACAGTGTTTAAAATGCAACTAAAATCAATCCTTGCACATTTTAAAACATTGTGTATTAAAATAATATGGCGGCAAATAAATGATGGTTTACAGTATTTCCGGTGGTTTCCGGAACGGCTCGACAAACTACGCCATGGTTTTACTGTTTTTTACTGCTGTACAGTTCCGGAATAATAACCGACGCTATATCGTGATTTTACCGTTATTCGTACTCGAATATAGATTTCTAGATAGATCTAGATCTATATAAAATATAGCATTTTTTGCTGATTAAAATTAATGCATCATTCATTTTGATACAAAATACTATTGTGCTTGAAAATGATAGTTTTATCACGATTTTTATGGCGTCATGTCAGAAATGGGCTAGAATCCAATCTGCTGTCTCAAGGGAGATAACATGCTGTTTGCTTAGGCCTTAATAATTTACAAATTTACTTATTTCTTTCGTATTATATTAAGTAAAATATTTAGTGTTAAATTAATACTGCACAATAAAATATTTGACAATAATTTCTTTAAAAAAACCCACTGTTTTGCTAAAGTGGAAAATATTTTCAAAATTTATTCAAAATCTTATAACCGTGAGAAAAGTTCTCAGGAGTCCAGTACCTATAAAAGGCCTGTGCTGTGTCATTGTTTACAACTAACTTAATCCTACCTATTATGATGATGGTCAATAAAACAAAATTTGCCAGATGGTCCGCGACCGTTATCAGTTATCCATTGTAGTATAAGTCTTTAGATATATTCTAGAGAACTTTCCCGATAAACAATCTACAACAATGGACATTCCACTATCCGCCACCTGTGGACGCGCTGGGATGAGTATGGCCGCCCCAAAATCCCAGAAAAAGACTCCCAAGAGTTACAGTTCATGTACATGTGTGTTTGACATGCTCGCTAAATGACGTGAGTTGCTAGCGGTGAAATTTCTTGGCCACACCCTGCGTTAAAAAATATGAAAATGACAACTCAGATAAGCAACAAATCATAGATGTTAAGTCAAGGATAGAAAAATTACGTGGTACTCTCGACCTTTGAGAAAGTCTAACGATGACAAAATACTGCTCATGACTCCGAGAGTACTAATCTGCTTCTTGTATTGTTAACATTGAATACCTGACGAGCGTACCTCCGTGTAAAAAACTGTTCCCCACTCTAATGCTACCGATCAGTGGCGTACGCAGGGGGGGGGGGGAGCAGGGGGAGGGGCCGCTCCGCTCCCCGCCGCTCCCCTCCGCTCCCCTCCCCCTCTGGCCATTTTTAGCAGTGTTTCTTCCAGACTTTTTCTCCGGGGGGGGGGGGGAGCACTTGAAATTTTCGGGGCGGGGGGGGGGGGGGCGGTAGACTTTCTTCGGGGGGGGGGACACTGTAAAAGTATATATTTTCTATATAAATTATATAAATTTCATTTCGTTCGGGGGGGGGGGGGGGAGGGCGGTAAAAAAATTTCGGGGGGGGGGGGGGGGGGCTTAAAGCCCCCCCCCCCCCCCAAAGAGATACCTGGAAGAAACTCTGATTTTTAGCAAAGTGGCGCCTTTTTGGAAACTTTTTAAACTCAAAGTTTTAAACAT